CTTCGACTTCATAAAGGAGAAGAAGCTCAAGTAGCCATTCTTCGAAGCTTCCATCCGACGCAAGTACACTACGACACTGTCCTCATCTTCAGAGACGACCGCCAAGAACCTCAAGCGTCAATACCTATCCGAGGCAATGGATTGCGAGACCGCATCCTCGAGCATGAACGACGGCATCGTGAAGAGCAAGATTGCCTTCGAGCGCCAAATTCATCAAGATAGCGAACGACCTCAAGTACAACAAGACCGACGTCGCAACTTGATGAACAAGATGTTGTCCGGCAAGAAGAACACCGCGTGAAGCAAGCAAATGAAGCGCACCGAGCTCTCCGTGAAGCTCAATATAACCTCTAGTGAACACGTGGTTGTGTCGATACTCACCTGTACAGAAAAATGAGATCGAACGGCAGGTGTGTCATATGCTTGTGGCCGGCTTTCATTGTGCACAACATGAGCTTGTTCGCCGCGCCCGTGCTCCTAGTGAAGAAGGATGGGAGCTAGCGTTTTTGCGTCGACTACCATCGCCCTAACACAATCACGTCAAGAACAAATTTCCTCTGCCAATCGTTGATAAGCTTCTTGACGAGCTAGTCGGCGCCGCATTCTTCTCCAAACTTGATTTGCGCGTCGGCCACCTTAGCGTGAGACCGAAGGATGAAGAGAAGACGGTATTCAAGACACACAATGGCCATTTCCACTTTCTTAGTGATGCCATATGGCCTCACCAATGCGCCGGCCACTTCTCAATGCCTCATGAACACAATCTGCGTTGCTTACATCTGTAAGTTTGTCATCGTCTTCCTCAATGATATTCTTGTTTACAGTGCTAACATCCAGGATCACGAGAAGCACCTTACGCATAGTTCTCGAGCTCCTGAGGCGTCATCAACTTTTCGCCAAGATGAGCAAGTGCTCCTTCGCGCAACCTCTCAAGTATCTCGGGCATGTCATTTCCAAGGACAACGTGGCAACTGACACAAGCAAGACGAGCGCGATGAAGGCTTGGTAGGTGCCCAAGATCTCCATTAGACTACACGGGTTCCTCAACCTCACCAGCTACTACAGGAAATTTGTGCCGACCTACGGCATCATCGCTAAGCCATTGACGCGGCTGCTCACGAAATGCTTCGCTTGGAACGACAATGCGCGGGCGACTTTCAACCTCTTGAAGATGGCGATGATCACCGGACAATGCTATGAGTGCAACTCACACGGTGTTGGCCAAATCGTGTTGTTTATTTGTAGCTTAGGTTTCCAGCCTTCCTGGTGTGACATCCCGGCTTAATAGGAATGACAAACTACTCATATCAATAAGGTGCACCTTCCTTTTTGTTGGTGTCTAGCCCTTGCCCTAGCTCACCCTCTTCTACCTCTCGCACTTGACTTCTCTCTGGCACATACACAGGAAGGAGGAAGAAAGAGGTAGAAAAGACACAGGTTTTGCCGGGCGCTCGTACACCCGCCGCCGCACGTACGGCGTGTTTTCTATTTCCTGAACACAAACTCAAAGCTAACCCACGATACACAGAGGATTGGCGAGGCTTTATCAGTGTTCAAGAAAGCGTTTTTAAGCGACGCTTAAGCGCGATTAAGCGCTGAGCGATGGCAAAGCGCTTCGCTTTTGCCCTAAGCGGTAGATTAAGCGTTTTTTATTTAAATTTGACCAAAATTTGGCAATTTTTGTACTACTTCTGCTGGTCTGCTTGTGCAATAATGGCAATATGCTATTTATCTTATTACTAGGCTATGTTCAAGAACTATTTCCTTCATATTTTGGCAAAATTCTGTCCACATGATATCTGTTAGGTTACGTCTATTTGAACTGAACTGCATTTTAGTTGTTATTTTGCTTGCTATGCGAACCTGATATGTATTTGCTATTGTGTGAACTGTATTTCAGATGCTACTTCAATTACCCATGTGCCAAGCTTCCTATTTTCATGTGTATATCATTCAAAATCTGTCAAATTCTAGCCAATTTCAAAAAACGCTTAAGTGCGATTAAGCTGCGCTTAAGCGCTCATTGCTCTAAGCTGTGGCCTTCCGCTTCGCTTACGCTTTTCGCTTTCTTGAACATTGGGCTTTATACGCGCGCACGTACGCACTAGCCTAACCAGCCACCACTACTCACTGGAATCTCTCCACGATCAACAAGACCCAGCTGTGCAGCTAACAACCATGCATGCATCAGCACAACGGCTCGGCCGCCACTCACGCACCGCTAAGTCAAGATTATAGCTATCAATTCCCCTTCTAATCTTGATATAGCTCGCCGTCAGTCATCGCCTTGTACTCGTTGCCGGCCATCCCTCGCACGCGACGACCTGTGCCGTGCAGCCCGGCCTCCGCACCGTGGCCAGCACGCTGCGTCACAAGCTGTCGACTTTTCCCAGCCGTCGCGCCACGCCTAGTGGCCTCCTTGCCGTGCCGCCGTAGCCTCCACAGCGCCAAGCACCTTCATAGGCCGACGCATGGCGCGGAGCTGCACCGCGCAGCTATCGACGGACGCCGCCACCGCTGGACTCGCCGCGCCTCGTCTTCGCCACGCGCTCGCTGCGCACCGCAGCCGTGCTGCCACGGACTCACCATGCGCCGCCTCCGTGTCTGTCATGACAATCGCTGCGCCGCGATCCTCCATAGGCCGACACACGGCCCGGAGCTCCATCGCGCAGCCACCGATGAACGCCTCCATCGCCGGCACGCCTTCGACACGGCGAACTACGCCCAAGACAACCAAGCTCATGATACCAAATGTTGGGACAAACCCACCAGCGGCGAACGCCAAGAAGCCCTCCGACGACGAACGCCGGACGGAGGTAGAAGACGAGGAACAAATCACACTTCCAGCGACGAACGCCCCGGCCGACGAACGGCCTGTATGTTGGCATCTATTCATCTCAACTCCCTCGAACACATATACATGGAGGTACACACCAACACACGCAGCACAACAGGAAGAACTCTCACATCGACCGAGCGCATACCACGGCCCAACGGAGACTACATCTTCCTTAGGCCCCTCCCCCTCGGCTCGGCACATACCGTCACCGTGGCGCGGCAACAGACCGGCGCATCTTGATGAGTACATGGGAGGGCTTTTCATACCCGGACGCACACACAACAGGCTAGCTACCGCGCACGCACGCACTGACTTGGCTTGCCACTGCATGCGCTCGGCCACACCGCAAGTCACGCACGTACGCACTAGCCTAACCAGCCACCACATTAGGCCACTAACCCATGCACTAACTACTCACTGGAATCTCTCCACGATCAACAAGACCCGGCTGTGCAGCTAACAACCATGCATGCATCAGCACAACGGCTCGGCCGCCACTCACGCACCGCTAAGTCAAGATTATAGCTATCACTCTTCTAGAGGCCATCTGAAAGGAACCTCAAAGTTCAGCGTGCTTGGCTTGGAGTAATTTGAGGATGGGTGACTGACTGGGAAGTTGATCCCAGGTCGCACGAGTGAGGACATAGTGCACAGGAAAGACTATTGTTGATCTGTGGGGTCATTCTAGATCCCAGGCGCAACAGCCAGGAACTGGTGGGTGAACCGATGGGTTTGGCCACGGCGTTACAATTGGTATCAGAGCCGACCCTCACGGTTACACGGGCGTGTGTGGGTTAGTGATGCGTATATGGGGCAGATGTGGATGTTGGCACTGGCGCGCACAGACGTGCCAAGAGGGAACGGGTCTGCTGGGCCAACGAGGACATCGGTTCCTTTGAGGGGGGTGTATGTGATATCCCAGCTTAATAGGAATCATAGACTACTCATATCAATAAGGTGCACCTTATTTTTCAAGAGCCCATCCGAAAGGAACCTCAAAGTTAAGCATGCTTCGCTTCGAGAAATTTGAGAATGGGTAACCGACTGGGAAGTTTCATACCGGATGCTCACGAGTGAGGACAAAGTGCGCAAGACTAGTGTTGGTCTTTAGGGCCGGACTAAATTCCAGGCGCAACGGCCGGGAACTGGTGGGTGAACCGGTGGGTTTGGTTGGGGTGTTGCTCCTATGTAGTTCTTTCCTCTTCTCTTATTTATTTTTAGTGTCTTCTCTTGTTTGGTTTTTGCTTGGTCTGTTGGCTGGTTCTGATCTTACATTGGCATTTCTTCTAATATGAAATGATGCATGTTTCGCGAGTGTTCGAGAAAAATAATGTGGTATGATGCCAGCCAAACCTTCTCTTCCTCCAGGGTGCGTTGAAGAAGAAAGAATTGTTCGCAACAACCTAGCCACATTAGAGGCACCCTCATAACCGTGGCGCTATCATGGGAAATAACCACTGATGGCAGTGACCTGTTTGACTAGACCGTCCAGTTGGTCAGTAACCACATTTATGTGAATGGTCAAAGTCTACATCTGCTCCCCGAGCTGTGCCATGGTCATATTGTTCGTGCCATCAGAAGCCATGACACGTCCTAGTAAGGTAGAGACGTTTCATTGGGGGAGACAAAAAAAAAGTGGGTGGGGCTGCTGGCAATAGAGGTTAATAGGAGATATAGGGTCAGGACAGGGTAGGGGGTAGCTATACAGAACGAAGGAGGAGATTGTGCAGGAGACAATCAGGAAAGGCAGGACCATAACAGAGAATAGAGAAAGTGCGGATAAGGTTGATTGATCGACTGCTTCCATTTGGAAAAGAATGACATCTCTCTTTTATAGACGAATCAACTAACCTAATACTATAAGGTCACAACTCTAATAGATAAGATAGGCAATTCCTAATTTAACCAATAGATCCTTACTAATCTAGTATACCTGATAGCAGTTAGGTACCTGATAGGACTCGGGACTAGTAATACCACTAGCAAGACTTCTCAATTATAACTGACTCGCTAGCAAACACCAAATTAGCAAATATTTCTATCTTTCAATACATCGAGATGCAAAGTTTTCGCGTTTTCTCAAAGAAGAAAAAGAACTTCCTGACTAAGCTAAATGACAAACTCCTACGGCTGATAAACAGCCAAAGGATCACGAGCTTACCAGGACCAAGCATTGAAAAATAGCCTCGCTTTTCAATTTCCTGCTGTTCTCTTGAGCCCTTTCCTGCTTTTGGTGAAAGCTTGTGAGGCAACATGGTACCTGGCAGTGAGTCAGAAGAACCATCGCCTCCTTCACCTCTCAGTTTATTTTTTTCAGCTAGCAATTGCCACTTTGAAAGCATGTCATCTCCCCCTGCTGCAACTCGCACAGCAGCATTTGCAGCTGTTGTTCTCATTTTATCATCTTCCTCCTTGTAAGTCTAAAATGCATATAAGATCATACACATCTCAAGTACGTAATATCTATGTACAGAATAATCATCCGAGACCTGAAAGTGGAAGAACTAACCTTAGCATGCTTTGATGTTCCACGGCTCTCAGCCTTGTCCTTTTCTGAAGAAACAACTGAATTGTCATCTCCCTGCAGTTACAAATTCGGTCAAACAACACCGTAACAGTCCCCTACTAAACTATCAGAAATTATACAATGGATGCCTGATTCTTTCCATGTAACGACTTATTGACTAATTAAACTGAAAGTTTGCAGTGCACACACAAATTGTACTGCCATATTTCTGTACAACTGCTACAAATGCCCCACGTTAACTGATGCAACAAACATTGGATAGATCTGACATCTAATTCACTGATGTTCCTATCTAATAAAAAACTAATAATAACTGAGATTGAATTGGTGAACCAGTCACACATGCACTCTCAAACCTAACACATGCCTTTTTGCAGATAGTCCATATTAGTTCCAAATTTGATTTTCTATCGAGCTTCTCAAACATTCAACATTACCACCAACATCTAAAGTACGTGCTATAAACAAGATATAGCATACATGATATTGGCAATTAATGTGTTAATAAGCATGTAAGACAATTGTTAAAGATCTTAAATAAATTCGATGCAGAAAAAACTAAAATCCACTTCATAAAAAATCCTTCATACAAAAGCATACTTCTATGAATGTATATGTAAATATAAAATTAAATGCAAGCAGAAACATCTTGCAGAACTAACATCACTCTGTTTCCTGATTCTGTTGGCATCTGCCGCCAGCTTCCTGTCCCACTGTTCTCTAGCTTCCCGGTTCACCCTCAGTATATGACTCCGAACATCCGAAGATAAAGGATAATAATGATGTCTTGATTTTTCAACATCAACCCTCTTCAAAAATAAATAGATAAATAAATACACAGATTACATTTTACATATGAAATGTCAATGAGACCACAGACCAGCAAATTGAACCTGTTTTGAAAGCCTTATTGTATTGCTTATGAATCCTCGTAACCGCTCCTCAACGCACTGGAGAAAGCCCAAGTTAGATTAGGCATAAGCAAAATCTGAGAAGGGCCTTGCTATATAATCTCTCACCATCGATAGACAACGCTCTACGTCACATCCTATGCTCTTCAGATTATATTTTCTCACTGCGAAAACAATAACATTAGAGAATAGAACACGGAGTTCATCTATCAATTTAACAACACTTGAATGATAAAGGTATTAACTGATCTCTGCTAATTTCTTTGTCAGAGGCCCCTTCTGTAGAATGAGCCTTTCTTCTTCCAGTTGTACAACTTTACGAGCAGCTTCTGAAACTCGACTCTCTTCCTTGGGAGCAGAGAAAAGTTGCTCCTCTTCTTCCTGGCAAAAGTAACAGTTACGGCATTAAAATTCATTTGATAATTGGGTGCTGGAAGGTATGCACAAAGCAACACAAAAGAACAAAAGCACATTAAAGAATCTTAGTATGTATACCCTCAGATTAACACCACTAACTGCAGTAACATCATTCAGCTGGTCAATGCTTTGATCATGGAAGCCTCCAGATCCCTTCTGCTTTTTGCTGGCACAATATAAAAAGGCCTCAGGAACCAAGAGCAAGTACAATCAAATTGAGTAATAATGGGCATTGAAAAAACAATTACCCAGATGGTGGAGGGGATGAGCCAATTGCTTCCAAAGGTTTCTTCTGCCCAGCAGGTGGCTTCTTTTCAGGTGTTTTGGAAGCTGCTCCAGAAGGAGGTGCTTGAGTACTAGGTTGAATCTAATCAAGCAGCAATAATCATACCGTTGAGTAGAGTGCAAGAATTAGTCAAATTGCTAAGAAATAAACAGAAAACATACAGCAATGTGTTCGTTTTGTGTGCACGCAAATAAAGGAAAATTACACTTCTGCAACCGGATCTCACAGGGTGTTATCTGTTAGGAATATGCAACTTGGTATTCCCATGAGGCCATAGGCCAGTACATAAATGCACATACAGGCGTGCTAAAAAATATGCAGAAAACCCCGTATATAACGGGGATATCAGGGTGTTACTTGTTAGGAACATGCAACTTGGTATTTCCATGAGGCCATAGGCCAGTAT